GGGCCTCAGGGACAGAGAAGGGGCCACGCCTGACTCACCTCAGAGCACAAGGCCCATCCCAAAGCAACCCACAGGAAAGAACTGGGGGAAGGAAGCAACCATTTTCACATTCAAGAGGGGCCACAGAATCCATCCCAAGAGAGAACTCTGTATGTATATATGCATGTGTGTGCACGTGTGTGTGTTTGTGTGTGTGCGCTCACGCGATTTACAAATAAACTAATGAGAAACTTTTGTGGAGGTGAGACTCACATGACATAAAATTTCTAATGCTAGTTTCGGGTGTGTGACCTTCGGAGCTGCTTATCACTACACTTCCCCCATCACTTTCTGTACCGCGGGCCTACTATGCTCCTTCCACATAACTTCCTTGTCCCTGTAGGAATCTGATGTGGGGTTTTTAATATTAATGCCCTGATGCACCAAGGAAAACTCCCACAGGCCTGAGGAGATCTTTCATGGTTCTGTAGGATTGCTGATGTTGAGTCACTTTTCATGACTTTGTTGGCCATTTGTACATCATCTTTGGAGAAATGTCTAGTCAAGGTTTAGCTCATTCTTCAGTTGTGTTATTTGGGTTTCTTATGTTGTCTTGTGTGAGTTTGTAATAGATGCTGGATATTAACTCCTTAACAGATACATTGTCTCTCCCATCCTGGAGTCTGGAGTCTGGTGAGAGTGTCCTCTTGTGCTCAGGTTTTGAAGTTGGTACAGTCCCACTTGTCTATGTTTGCTTTCCTTGTCTGTGCTTTCGATGTAAATATGCGGGAAATCATTGCAAAACCCAATGTGCTGGGTTTTCCCCCTATGTTTACCTCTGAGAGTTTATAGTGCTTGGTATTATATTTAGGTCTTTAATACATTTTTTGCAGAGAGGAAAATGAACTGTGATGAAAACCCAGAACTGCATGAGAGGAATAACTGTGAGGGGTATTTTTCAAAATAGTCATTGTTTTCCTGCAGTGTGTTCTCACAGTGGGGTCTGAAGACGCTGAACTCACAGAAAGAGAGTAGACGTTGATGCAGGGGCTGGGGGTGGGGAAATGGGGAGATGTTGGTCAAGGGTAACTTTCAGCTACAAGAGGAACAATTCCTGGGGATGTACTGGACAGCATGGCAAGTACAATTAACAGGATTGTATTAAATACCTGAAAGTTGTTATGGTTATACATCATTCCTGTTATAACCATAACAATGGTAATTACATGAGAGGATGGAAGTGTTGATGAACCTTATTGCGGTAATAACTTCACTATATAGGTGCATCAAATATGTACATTGCATACCTTAAACTTGCATTTATTCGATATCAAAAATATCTCAGTTAATCTGGAAATAAAATAATTATTTACATCCAAGTAATTATTAATGTTCTCTAAAGTTTATCAAATTTATAGCTGTAAGCTATATGCAATAACAATACAAAATGGTGAGAGTATAGGTGGATGTGTCTTAAATGTTGAAATTTTTTATTGTTATAGAATAGATATAGTCCAGCCAGTGTGGCTGAGGGGTTAAGCATCAATCTATGAACCAAGAGGTCAGGGTTCGACTCCCAGTCAGGGCACATGCCTGTGTGAACGGCTTCATCCCCAGGAGGGGAGGTGGAGGAAACAGGCGATCAATGACTCTCTCATCGTTGATATTTCTATCGCTCTGTCTCCCTCCAAATTCCTCTCAGAAATCAACAAAAATATCTTAAAAAATAAGAAGAGATATAAATACCAATTGAAGAATAATTACAAGGAATAAACGAAATCCCTTACTTGAAACAGCTTCAACAACAGCAACAACAAAAAGAGGAGATCCAGATGGAATTGGACTCAAGAAACTCCCACAGACACTAAAGAGTAAAATCAATGGTCATGTGATATCACAGAAACGTTCTCATTTATGATTAAATGCTGGGATGTGTTATGACAATAATTCTGAGGTTGGCGTCTATGAACAGGGAGAGAAGAGCTGCTCCGAACTCTACTGTGTATCAACACCTACAGATGGGAGACCAGAATCTCAGGTGGTGACCAGCTAACTTCAGGGCAAGGGGAGGATAAGGGGCCAACTTCAGTCCGTCTCTGGGCCTGAGAATGGAGAGAGAGGAGCAGGAGGTGGGGAGATGGTTGGGCAGAACCAATAGAGAGAAAGAAAGAGGGGGGAGGGGAACAGGTCAAATGGGAGAAACACAGGCAGAAACAAGGGGCCCTCAGTGGGTGTGTATTATTGTTTATTTCTGTATCTCATGATGTTTTGAGCCATTAAACAGATTGGAAGAGAAGGAGGCACAGGGTCTCCCAGGATGGCCCATTCTCAGAGACAGCAAAGAATTTCAGATGCAAACCAACCCAACCTGAGCCCATATTCCCAGCCTCCCCACCTGCCCCAAATCACCCAGGACCTGGGACCAGACAATAGAGACCACGCCCACAGGCCCATCCCCCAGACTGACACACACCAGCTGGTCCTGAACTGCTCACCCTGCCCTGCCTTCCGTTTCCCATGGGAACCCCAGTCAAGGCCTTCGCTAGGCTGCCCTGCAACTGCATCTGCTTCCTGAGAAAATCCGGGCTTCCCGAGACACAGCGAGGCCCTCCTCTCAGAGAGGTGAAAAGAGAGTAAAAGTCTTCTCTCCATGGCACTGACTCCCTTGTGGTCACTCCGTCACTTCCACACACTGAAACCCCACTGGCACATTGGAGGCAGGTGAGTCAAGAACTTCCAGGGAGATGGTGACATGGACGTCCAGGACGGTCCCTGTAGCCTGGTGTCCACACCTCAGTCCATCTTGAGAGGAAGGGAGGATCCATCAGGAGCTCTGCCTCCTGTTCCGGGGGCCTCCACACCTGCGGGGCCCACACAGGTGTCAGCTCAGAGACTCCGCCACTTTGGCTCTAACTCCAGGCAGAGCCGGACAGCTCGGCCCCACCTGCACCTCAGGGCCCATCCCTGACCTTCCCCGGGAGAGACAGGCCTGCTCACCTGGTGTAGTAGAGCCAGGTGAGGACGTAGGTGAGGAGGAAGCCAGCCCCCATGAGGGCCCCTCTGATCAGGGTGAGGACCAGGGGCCAGGAGCCCTGCTGCTCCTCAGTCACACATCTGCTGGAGTGCGGGCTGCCTGGGACGACAGAAGGGTGACATATTGTCCAGGACTCGGTCCACCCACAGCCCATCACCTGACCAAGCGGCCGCCCCACACCTGTCCTGCACCTCACTCTGCACAGAGAGGCTGAAGAAGACGCGCTGGAGCCTCTGGGTACTGAGCCTGGCAGGTGAACTCCCCTCCGCCTCAGCCCCACATGGGGCAGCTCCAGGAGCCCTGGTGCTGAGGGCTGGAGGGGCTCAGGGCTTGTTCCCCCAGCACCAGCTCTGGTGACACCACCCACTCCCAGGACTCAGTCTCTCCTCTTCCCACCTCCTCCCAGAACCCGCTGTCGGTTCTGTTCAGGCAGGAGATGCAGGCCCTGTCCTAGCAATCCCCCCTGTCCCCTCTCAGCCCCCACCCCCAGCTCCACCCTCTCTCTGACCTACTCCTTTCTCCGTGGCCTCTGCCCCCAGCAGGCCCTGACCTGGCAGCAGCAGGACAGAGGTGCTCTGGGGTCCACGGACATTCCTGACCTTACAGCTGGATCTGAGTCCCTCACTGAGCCCCACACCCTGGCTCAGGGAGCTGTCAGTCCAGGGCCCCTCTGAGCAGGAAGTAACTGCAGGTGGGAGGCGTTGCCATGGTTCCCCTCCAGCAGCCCCGCCCCCAGCCGCCAGCGCAGGGAGGGGACCCATTGGGCCCTGGAGGAGCAGCTGCAGAGCAGAGCCTGGTCCTCCCAGGAGCAAGAGGGTCCCAAACAGCTGCGGGGGGTCTGTGGGGAGCGAGGAGAAGGGTCAGCGGTGCCTCTAACATCTCCAGGCATCGAGGTGACCTACTTACAGGTGCAACCCTCCTGCTCCCACCCCACCCACATCTCAACCCACTCCCCACTCACAGACCACGGAGAGGCTGAGAGAGACCCTGTGGGAGCCCAGCGGGTGCCGAGCTTGGCAGGTGACCACGCGAGGCAGCTCCAGGATCGCGGTGCTGGAGATGGGGGTGGCGTTCAGGCCTGGCGACCCCCGGAACCAGCTCAGCTCGGCAGGGGGGTTGCTGTCAGCCTCACAGCGCAGCCCCAGGGCCTCTCCCTCCAGGATGGAAAGGGATGTGGTTTTTAGATTCTTGAAGGCTGGGTAGAGAGAGAGAGAGAGATGTGTGCAGGCACCCACACTCCAGAGGTGAGGAACTGGGGTGCTGACTTTCATCCCTGCACTTCCGATGTCTGATCCCATTCAAACTCCTGCTCCCCCCTCTGCCCCACCAGGGCCCCGCGGGCAGGTCCCAGTCCAGAGAGGAGGGGTTCTTTCCTACCTGTGTCTTTTCTGAAGGAGACGCCTATGGTGAGGTTCTGAGGGGCATCTGGGAGAGAAAGACAGGGCCCCACTTCACATGGAAGTCACCTCAACCCCAAGTAGGGGCGGTGGGAACCGGGAAGGAGGGGTTCTCTCTTTCTGGCCCCTCCCCACCTACACACACATCCATGCCCGGGTGTCCTCAGGTTAGCTCAGCCTCCAGCACACACACACACACACACACACACACACACAGGCCACTCCACTGTCCCCACAGACCCAGCCACCCCTCCAACACTCACAGGAGACATTGAGCCGGATGGTTCTCTGTGTGGTCAACTGAGGCTGTTGGACTTTGACCTGACAGGTGAGGCTGGTGCCATGGTCCCGGGGCCTCGGGGTGAAGGTGAGCACTGAAGACCTGAGATTCTGGGGGTTCAGCGAGTCCACAGCGGCTCCCTCCCAGGAGAAGGTGAGAGGTTGTCCTCTTTCACAGGACCCTGGCAGGCTGCAGGCCAGCTCTGTTCGGCGGCCAGACTCCAGAGGCTCCTGAATCTGGATGTGGGGTTTGTCTGTCAGGAAGGAAGAGGAGAGGGGGAGGTGCCTGGCCCCCGGGAGTTGGGACCCAAAGTGTGAGCCTGAGTGGAACTTGCGCCTCAGGGCCCCTGAGCTCCTCAGGACCTGTGATCTTCCCACCACCCAGGGCCCGAGGCCTAGACAGGGAGTGTCCAGTGTCCTGTTCCTGCTCTAAGACGGGGTCCCATGTCCATGGGTCCTCTCCTGGGCCCCTGCCGTACCTGTCACCTGCAAATCCAACATCTTATCTTGGTAACTATATCTCACTAAAGTTCCTCTCTCCACTCGGAAGAAGTAGAGTCCTGTGTCACTCCTCTTGGCATCTGTGATGCTCAGCGAACAGTCGTTGGTCCTGGGGTCCGCGAGGAGGAAGCGGCTTCGGGTCTCTCTCTTCACTGATTTATTCCAGTTGCTCGAGGCCACAGGAGCATCATAGGCTGGGTTGTCCCCATCCCGGTACCAGTAGGTGTAGAATTTGCTATAGGAAGACCACGAACTCCACGGGTAGGAGAAGGAGCAGGGCACGTGGACACACAGACCCTCATGCACCGTCACAGATTCCTGCACTCGGAGCTCAAATGTGTAGCCTGGTTGCTGCTGCAGGGACCCTGGGGGAGGAGGACAGAGGCTCAGCGGCAGCTCCTGCTAATCCCCCACCTGCCCAGCCCCACTCCCTCAGCCCACTCACCCTCCCACAGCAGGGGCAGCAGCAGCAGGGGCACCATGTCTGCCTCTGGCAGGGCAGAGCAGGTCCGGGTCCCTGTGTCAGGGAGGTAAGTGCCCAGCTCTGGGGTGAGGCCTAGGACGTCCCAACAGGAAACCCTGGTGGAGGGACTGTGGCCAGAGTAGAAGGGGAACTTGGCCTCCACAGGATGTGGGGTTGGGGGGCGGTGGCTGAGAAATCAACCTGTCTCCCTCCCCACTCCCACCCAACCCTGCCGGTGGATATGCTGAGGCCCCCAGAGGTTGAGAGGCATGTCCAGATGTGAATCTGAAAGTAATCACCTTGCAGATGATGTATAAGTCGGGGGGAGGTCACCCAGGGGGCCACTGGGGTCAGAGCTGGACTTGAGGGAGACCCACACTTGAGCTGAAACCACTGATCTTTCTAGAAAAGGATAACTTTCTTTTTTTCTTTTTTTATTAATTAAATCTTTATTGTTCAGATTATTACATTTGTTCCTGTTTTCCCCCCCATAACTCCCCTCCACCCAATTCCCACCCCACCCTCCTCCCTCACTCCCCACCCACTGTCCTCATCCATAGGTGCACGATTTTTGTCCAGTCTCTTCCCGCATCCCCCACACCCCTTTCCCCCCCCCCCAAGAATAGCCAGTCCATTCCCTTTCTATGCCCCTGATTCTATTATAATCACCAGTTCATTCTGTTCATCAGATTATTCACTTGATTTTTAGATTCACTTGTTGATAGATGTGTGTTTGTTGCTCATAATTTGTATCTTTACATTTTTCTTCTTCTTCCTCTTCTTAAAGGATACCTTTCAGCATTTCGTATAATACTGGTTTGGTGGTGATGAACTCCTTTAGCTTTTTCTTATCTGTGAAGCTCTTTATCTGACCTTCAATTCTGAATGATAGCTTTGCTGGATAAAGTAATCTTGGTTGTAGGTTCTTGGCATTCACACTCTTGGAGCTCCCCCTTGTGGTCTTTGTGCACAGTCTTGTTGTAGTTAAGCCTTGATTGTTGTAGGTAACACTGGGAGGGATTGACCTCCAGGCCAATTGGCTGTGAGAATCAGCTGTGTCTTCAGTGGGAGAGCTTCTGTGCTGGAGACACCCCTCCGGGGCAAGACTTTTTTCAATGGGGCTTTGGTGCTCACTGAGTCTGCCCCCTGAGTGTGTCCTTTATGGATCCGAGGAGCTGCAAACTGGATGGTCCCATTCTGACCACTGGTCACACTGGCTCCTGGATCTCTAGGGAGGTGCTAATCTAGTCTCTTCCTGAGGCTATCCAGCAAAAGCCTCCGTGCAAGGGTTGGGCAGGGCGGGTCCCACGGGATCAACAGGGTGGGGCTAGCAGTTATGTCTGCTCTCAGTCCTGCCTTCAGAGACTCTGCTTCTCAGTGTCCTGGTAATCGCTGCAAGCCCCTCAGAGAGAAAGCTGCCCTCGAGTTACGACTGATGCCAGACAGTCCCGCTTCTCCCGTATGAGTCTGGGTTCCTAGAGACTCGCCCGGAACTGGAGCTCAGAGCCTGAGACTCCCTCCCTATTGAAAACGACAACCGCACCCTCAGCCGCCAGCCCGCTCCACACGCACCTCCGCACCTTAGTATTTTACTTCCGCACTGCGCCTCCTCTGAGTCTCGGTATGCTTTTCTCTTTCCTTCTAGTTGTAGAATTTCCACTCAGCCAGCCTTTCTGTGGTTCTGGATGATGTCCGTTCCGTCTTTTAGTTGTATTTTTGAAGTGGTTGTTCGCGGCAGCAAACTCTGGTGTTTACCTATGCTGCCATCTTGGTTTCTGGAAAAGGATAACTTTACATTTTCTTTAGACAACTCAAGTGCTGGCAAGAGAAAAAGGAATTTAGACTCAACTCTAGTTGGGGGGTGGAACCCCAGCAAAAACTTGAGCATTCAAGCCCTTTGCTCTGAGATTTGTGGAGACATGGGAAGCACACTTGTGGGTCTTCCAGGGTCTGAGGGACCTGGAACAGTGACAGCACACAGGCCCCATCAGAAGGCGATGTGTGAAGGGAGATCTCACCCCATTCGGAGGGACCCAGAGGCGGGGCCTCAGCACAGCAGCAAATTCGCCACCTACAGCTCAGAAAGCTCCACCTTCAGGCCCCTCATGTGCACATCCCTTTTCAAAGCCCAGCAAGGGCTCGAGTGATGTGTGGACATAACCTGCAATCCTACTGCTCTTCTATGAAAGGAAGAAACTTGATCAATGTTTTCCCAAATATGACAGCGATGTGAAACTTCAGACATTCCCAGTAACAAATTGTGTGATTGAAAGAAACGTTTCTTTAATTGTATAGGAGGAAAAGAAATGTCAATCACCCATGCTGAAGGGAACACTGAATTCTCTCTCTGTCCTCTGTATTATCTAAATATATAAAAGGTTAATATGCAAGGTGTTCCCTTGGAAGTTAACCAGGAGACTGGGAGTTCGATTGCTCACTGGAACTTGCACTGACCACCAGGGGGCGGTGTGGAACAAAGGAAGGCCTTGGCTGGCAGCTGGAAGGCCCCAATTGGCCCTGATCACCGCCAGGCCTAGGGACCCTACACATGCCCAAATTTCGTGTACAGGGTCTCTAGTATAAATATAATATTCTAGTAACTAATATCTAATATAATATTAACATTTATTACTATGTGACAGAATTAATCTCCTATAAAGAGGCAATCAGAGGGTATCAGCTTAACTGTGGAGCCTGGCCAGGTGGCACAGTTGGCTGGAGCATCATGCCTTACACCAGAAAGTTGTAGGTTAAATTACCGTTCACGGCACATACCTAGGTTGCAGGTCCCATCCCCTGTATGGGCATGTAGGAGGCAACCGATTGATGTTCCTCTCTCACATATCTGTCTCTCTCTCAGGGCTCAGCAATGGAACAATGGCCTCTATCAGCACTTCCGTCTGGGAGAAAGCTGCCCCTCCAGCTCTCTCCTAGATTCCAGATAAGTTGATTCCTTCCTAAATGTCCCAGGTTCCTTTTAAGCTGGGCCCAAGTGCTAGGGCTCAGAGGGAGTGAGTCTGAGTAAGACCTTGCTCAGGCCCTTTAAGAGGAGGTGCCTGGGGCTCCAGCAGCCTCTGTGTCACCTAGCCACAATCCCCGCTGCTTTTATTGAACCAGAAGTTGTGCAGACTTGATACCCTTGCTCCTCAGGGGAACCTCCACAGTCAAGATATCCCTCCTGATTTTAAACCAACACATGTGGATGTGAGACCACCTGGTCCTGAGAGTCTGCCCTGCATCTTTTCCCCTCCTACCAGTCTCAATGATACATAGGTATGTTGTGCTATTCAGACGTTATTCCACATGAATTAAAGGGCCCAAATCATGCCAGGAAAACATGCCCCAAACCATAACACTGCCCCCACCAGCTTGAAGGGTTGTACTCATGCATGTGGGGTGCATGCTTTCATGCTGTTTCCACCAAATTCTCACTCTGCCATCTGCATGATGCAACTGCTGGAAATGAAATGCATCAACCCCTCGCTATTCCAGGGCAAGACAGGTTGTGCCATGATGATTCTCTCTCATCATTGATGTTTCTCCCTTCCTCTCCCTTCCTCTCCGTTCCTCTCTGAAATAAATTATATATATATATTTAAAACTACTTCTAGTTTGTAACTTATACATTCTTATTTTATTATGTACAGTCACTACCATAAAAATTACAGCATCATAATTAACTTACCAAAGTTTTAGCAAATGAACACTTCTCTCTCCTCCTAGGTAATATGTACATATTAGGAAATGTACAGATTACATATTCCCCACTTTGGGCTTAGCCGTTATTACTGTCGAGAATGTAAATCTATATTTTTATTCTACAGGCAATAATTTCCCCATTTATTTGTTCCAAAACATCTGTATTACTTCCTCATTTTTTAATTCTCTCTGCTGAGTATAAATTATAAAGTGACATTTAAAGATCGTATCTGCTTTCTTCTGCTTTCCATGGTTGCTCCTGAAAAGTCAATTAAACTGCTCTGAGCGATCCTCATTTGCCTGCACGCTTGATCTCTGAGTACTCGGGGCTGCTGGTGGCCTCCAGGTTCTGAGGCTCCCGTGTCTTCATCTCATAAAAGCTGAGGTTGGCGTAGTAGAGCTCTTGTTGCTCCCCGGAGGGAAGGGCATCCTTGGCGGGGGGCACTTGGTCTGGAGGCCTGTCTGGCCCTAGCTTTTCCTGGGAACCCTGAGTGGAGGGGAGGGAAGGGAGTCAGAGAGGAATAAGGCAGACATGGTCCCAAGGGGAAATTGGGCTGATGGAACAGTTTTCATTCTTCCTCATTCCACACACGTCTTACGAACTCAACTATTCCCACATGCATTTAACATTATGTAATATTATACTGAAGGCCTACTAATCATGTTTCATCCTCACAGAAACCCAGCATGAATGACATTCATTATCCCCATTTACAGATGGGTAATCTGAGGTGAGGAGAGGTGAAGCAACATGCCCACAATGGGTAGAAAGTAGTTGTTTTGGGGAGCTGGTTCTGGCGGCCTGTGCCTATCAGAATGGTGAGGTTGGCTCAGTGGTCAGTGTGGCTGGGGCAGGAGGTTCCAGGAAATGAAAGGGAGAAGTCAACTCCCTGCTGTCTGTCTAGCCCACCATAATGGAGCTCAGTGTGAACTCCCTAATGGACATGCCCAGCCCCCCCGACCCCCGCCCTACACAGCATGAGAAGACACCCGTCACTCACCCAGGTGACTGTGCCCATGACAGGGTCTTCATTATTCGTGATCTTTGGTCTCCCAGCTGCTTGCCTCCTGCGGGCTTTCACTCTAAGGGAAGAAGTCAGCAGCCAGAATGGCTCAGGCACAGGTGGGCAGCTGCGCCCACTCCCTGATGGACAACGGAGGCATCCAGGCCCTGAGGCCAGACTCGGAGGCCCTCCTGACATGCAGGTGAGGGTCCCGTCCCCCTGGATGCCCAGGGGTTTGGCCAAGACTGAATGTTCATCACCAAGGCCCCTCTCACACGCAGAGACTTGTGCACGAGCCATCATCGGTGCAATTCAT